ATGGCACTCCCTCGCCATCCCGTGTCTCCACCTCCAGGAAGATCCTGTGAAGGACAGAGCCATGGCTGCAAGGGGTCCATGCCCCATGGTGCTGCTGCTCTCTGCACTGCTGTGCCTCTGCCTGGTCCAGTTCACCCAGGGTGCCAGCTTCCAGGAGTTTGTGTCCGAGCATGTTGACTACCCCAAGACCGGCGGTGCTAAGAGCAGATCTTACTGCAACGTCTTGATGCAGGAACGGGGCATGACCACGACCAGCTGCAAGCCTTTCAACGTCTTCATCCATGCCCCTATCAACCAGATCAGAGCCCTCTGCACCAGTCTTGGGGAGCATTTCAGAAACGACCTCTATGACAGCAAGAAGTCATTCGACCTCACTGTATGCCGCCTGGTGCCCCGGACCTTCAGGAGGCCTTGTGTCTATTCGTCCGGGTCCCAGACCCGCAGGATCCGGGTGGCCTGTCACAACCGATTACCTGTGCGCTTGGAGCAAATCCTGTAGGGCTCAAGGGCTAGGCCATGCAGAGAGCATCCAGCTTCTTGCACAACCTGCCTTTGCTCTCATGACATGCCCTCCTGCTTTCTGCTCTTCCTAGGCTAATGCTCACTGAGTTTCCACATTCCAGTTGCTTGGGGCCTCGGGATGGGATCTCCCAACCTTCCCTCAATGTGCATGAGCACGGGGCATCCATCTCCCACCCCTCACCTTCTGCTTCCTGCTAGTGTCCATTATACAGTGAAGCCAACCCTTCCCCATCCCTTGTCCACTGAGCGGGTAGATGTTGACTGTGCAGCGCGGGGATTTGACCGTCTCTGATTGCACCTTGGAAAATGGAAGTCTGCTCAATTCTCCTGCTGTTCTTGCAATAAACTACTTCCCTGCAAATTCAGAACAAGTGTGAGTGTGTTTGTGCAGAGCACCTTGCAGAGAACATCACGCGATTGCTTAGCAGTATGAAGGGAATGGGATACGGGGCCTTTTCCCTGGAGCCCATGGAGGGAGGGGGTGTCTGAGCAGTCCCACAGGCACTGGGAAGGGAGGCCCCCCCTTGGAGGCTACTCCCTGTCATACCAACACAGTCCCCATCAGCTAGGATGTCTGGGGCTCACCCAGGCAATTGAATTATACTCCTGAACGAACTCCCCTCTGTCGAGACTGCAGGTGCTTGTACACAATGTGGACAATGTTAAACGCACCAGCCTGTTCAGCCTGCCAGCTGATCCCTACACACAGCGTGTGCACTCAGCTGTAATGAGCACTGAAAGTGGGTACTACTAGGCAATAAAACCTTATCCCAGTTACCGTCCCGCACCACGGAAATGATTCCGCTAGTGAGTTGCAGAGTAACCACCAAGAAACCGGAGGCTATTTTACCTCCCATTGCACGCAGCCTAATTGCCCCTCTTGCCCCCCGCACCTGATGGGTCTTCTGAGCCTAAGTGAGGCTGCTGCAGGGGTGACAGGGACAGTAGCAGACACTGGTTGGGTAGGGCTGGGCCTCAATATGTGTCAATGGAGAGGAGATTGCTGGCATCCAGCGACTTGAATGAGTCCCCCCCTGCCCCTACAGCACTACTGGCAGGATGATGGAGGGGAGATGAGTGAAAGTACATACAACAGCTAGACCAGCTGCTCCTGCATTAATGCATTGGCATCCCCTGTCCCCAGAGCAGCACCTTGGCCACACCTCGCCAACCTCTCCCCAAACAGCCTTACCCCAGGTTCTCCCATTGCCTCCTGAGCCTCTAACTCCATCTGTCCCAGTCTCCCTTCTGCTGGGCCTTCCAGACCAGCATCCCCCAGATCAGCTACCTCTCCCTACATTGGCCCATCCCATCTCCCTCTATCCCAGTCCAGACCAGTCTCCTGCACTCCAACAGGATATAGCCACTGGCTTCAAAGTCAGTAAGAGACAAAGCACCAGGTCACACCAAGAGACTAGGAGCCAGACCCTAGACTGCCTAGTAGGCACCTAAGTGGACTTAACCACTGCTGTGTGATTTTAGTTCACTCTATTCAGGTTCCCGAAAATTCGTTAATGAAAACGAAGTCGCCCGCCTTCTCTGAGCAACCTTGTGACCTAGTCAGACGGCATGGAGCGCTGCATGGGACAGCTTCCAGGCCCAGCCAGCCAGGTCTGCAGCCACATCCCTCCTCATCTCAGACCAACAGTCCAGCCATCATGTTACTACCTGTGTGCTGCCCTAGGCAGAAACAGCAGCGCAATGGGTGAAGGGGGCAGTGGACAGGTGATGCCAGGTGTAAGGAACTGATCCTCTTACAGCAGCAAGGCCATTTGAAAAGGGCTGGTCTGCGAACCATGTCTGTGTAGGAGTCCCTGGACACTAAGATATCTGGGCCCAGGAGCTGATGTGAAGGAAGTGCAGGGAGAGACCAGGCTGCCTGGCCAGGGGCTCACGTGGGATAGAAGAGGAAGGAGGCTAGGGCTGGCTGGGCTGAGGAGTAAATCCCAGGGGTGTCAAACTGACTAGATTCATAGTCTGATCCCGTCTTGCATCTCCTCCCTGTCATGTTCCTTTTATCAGACTCGAGACAGCAAATATCACGGTAGGAAGGGCAGCACTAGTGGTCAGATAGCACCGACACCATCACCATGAGTACTGCTATGCAGGCCTGGTCTTGCCCTCTCTATGCCAGCTACGCTGCAAAAGCTGCTTATTCTTTCAGGGCTTTGTGCTCATCATATCCATAGACCCCTCCACTCACACACATGTCCGCACACAGGCTGAGAGGCAGGTCCAGAGCTAATTTGCAGGGTGGGGCACGATCCCATCATCCTTATACCCTGCCGACCTCAACTGCAAGACGTGAGTGAAGCTCAAGGACCTACATGTGCAAAGCCAGGCCTGACTCACCCTTTGGGTGTCAGCCGGTGGTTAGGGCACGGCGGACACGGTCCTTCTGCTCTCTCAGTCCTTGTGGTAGCGGTAAGGCTGTTCTTGCCATGAGGATGGGGAAGGGGCTTCCCAAACAGGGGATGTTTCCTTGCCTTGTATTGGAACATGTCTCCATCTGGTTTTCCCTTCCTACTATCCAGCTGAAGAACATTTATCATTGATATTATAACTCAACAAGTAATCAAAAGGTGCTTGAATGTCAATGTTTTTTATCCCACATTTTATAAAAACCTATCTAAATTTAGCAACAAGCACATGATTATAGTACAAGATCTCTTGAGAATTTGAGCCAATATTATGGAACCAACTTTGAAAACTCATCTAGTCCTCCTTGTGTAGGATCAAGCATGCCGAAATCATTCTTGACAGATATTTATCTAACCTGTTTGTGATCCCAACAGCCTCCCTTGGTTCTCTATTCCAGGGCTTAACTATCATCACACATGAAAAGTTTTCCTGATGTCTACCCTAATTCACCCCACTGCAGTTCAAGCCCATTATGTCTTGTTCTGTGCAAGGCCGCCATACAGAGCAGCTTATAGCCTTCCTCTTCGCAGCACCCCTTGCAATATTTGAAGATTGGTATCAGTCTGTCAGTTCATTTTGCAACCTTTGGATAAATATCTAATGGGGGACGTTGACTGTTGATGCTATTCAGCAAATTGCAAAACCCTGTTTAGAGGAGGAAAAAAGGTCATAACTAAGTAAAAGTGAGAATATGTTGAAGGGAAAAAATGCAGATAAAAATACAGTGGCTTATGCAGGAGGGTTGAATGCGTGCTCTCTCATAGCTAAAAGGCAGGGAGACTTTCTGCTCTCAAAAGGGCTTTATTGCAACAACTGACACACACACAAAGATGCCGACAACTTCCCGTTGATGCCGTCATGCAGCCCTCAGCAAGGGAATGACCCCTTCCTACCACAGTATGGAAAATGCCAAGTGAAACAGGTGTTTTCAAGAAAAGCCCTTCTACAGAAACTTGTGTCTCCTCCACAGGAGGCAGGTCGATTGGCATCTCGCTGATGAACCAAAGTCGACTTGTATAGAGAGCACGACAGGCCAAGGCTCAGCTAAGCAGTTCTCCTCAAGCCTCATTGAACTTATAAATGCTGGAGACGGTTTGTTTCTTGAAACCCTTAGTCAAGGGGGTCAAGAGCAACATGCTGAGCAGAAGGAAGTGGTTTAGATGGCAGTTTAAGACAAAAGAAAGCCAGGAATAGCTAAAGAAGAGAGGGGTACAGGGTCAATATTTTCCAGCTAGCAGCAATAGTGTTACGTGCTACAATCTTCTTCTCATGGAGATGCAGGACCGTTGCTTGTCTGAATCATTATTATTTATTGGACCACGAGGGTTTTGTTATCCTGCAGCCTGGAACGTAAAACTTTCTCAGAATTTGCAAATGATGAGCCTCATGAGAGGTCCATATCCTGTCTGACTAATCTACATTTAGAAAAATAAAATGTTAGTAGTTAGTTAGGTCTTTTTTTTCCTTTGCTCATCACTTCTATTCAGTAAATCATTACAAACTATGCTATTTATGTAAAAGTGTGGGCAATCCCTCATTAAACCTCAAGTTGTGTTTTTTTATGTCCCTAGATGTCTTCTCAAAGTCACAATCACAGCATCTTTAGCAATGAGGTGGCCGGGGAGGGCGGGGGGTAGCAACTGAAGGTCCGGTACATTGGAAAGTTTCAGATCGGTGACTGTATGTGACAGCACTGTGTAATATTTCTATATTAATTGTGCTTGGTAATGTTTCTCTTAGTGCATGCCTCAGTTTCCCTGCCTTCATCGTACCCTTTGTACACCGGGGAAGAATGGGTCCAATTTACCCTGGACTAGACCTGGGGGTGAAGGGGATGTTTCTAGAGACAGCTCAGAGAAGCCCTGGAGCACCATGCAGTCAGCCCAGGGCTCAGCTCTAAGCCCAAGCATTTTCCTTTTCACGGTCAGAAAGCTCTGTGATAGCATCCCAAGGGACCGAGAGTTGCATGTTTGCAGTAGGCGAATGTGGGGACAATATGAGATGCACCAGCTCCAGCACCAAGCACAGAGGTGACAGGCCCTCCCCGCTCCCACGTTTATCCATCCAAGTGCTCCCCTGGCCCCTTTGCCCCCTGTATTGCCCTGGCAGCTGATCCATCTAGCCTTGCCACCTGTTCATGAATTCATACCCCTGTTCAGCATTCTCTATCCAGATGTATCCATCTTTTGTTCAGGCACCCATGTAGCCGTCCATCTATGCATACATTATCTTCCCTTTGCCAAGCAAAGCCATCTCACTTTCCCTTCTTCTCTCCATCTATAAGTCTCTCCACCAGTCCTTAGTCATGGACATCCATCTTTCTTGGGGGCTGGACCCAATGACCTGTAAGGCCCTTCCAGCCCCTCACAATCGATGAATGTATTTCCATCTTTACAACCATCCAGCCACACACCTATCCTCCCTGCCCCAATCGCCACCAGCCCCAGATGGCATCAGGATAAGCTCTGTACCCTGTCAAGTGGATTTATTCCTTGTTCATCTCCAACCAGTTGTGTCTCATCTAGTACCACAGCTCCACCTTGTTAAAGACTATTTCCCCCCTACATTCGCTCCGCGATCGCCCTAGCCTGTGAGATGAAGAGTCCATTCCTGATACTAAGGCTCAGGAAATTCATTCATGGGATGTTGACACAAATTGCTTTTAACATTTTTATTCATTGCAGCGAGGAAAAGCAGTAAGTCTAATTAACCAGTAGCACAGAGGCAGAGGGGAAAAGAAAGGGTGACAATGGAAAAGAGCAAGGCTCTGAACTCAGGGCACTTGCTTCCAGCACACTGTCGGTTAATTGATTGGCATATAAGCAAGCTCAGGTCTTAGAAAGGCAGCCTCTCATCTGATTTTCCCCCACCATTTGGACACGGAAAGCACTGGAGATCTCTATTGCCACCCCATGGCTGTACTAGGAAGCTGAAAGGGCTTAGGGTGGTTTTCGTGCCATTTGAGTGAATTTGGTTTGATTTTGTTTTTTGAAAGTTCCAGTTTGCAATTGATTTACAGATTTATTGTGTTGAAGTGAAAATTGCCCTTATTTTTATTCCATGATGTAATTTACTTTCACAATGCTGTGAGTTTGAATTCTGCGTAGGTTCAAGTGAAACATTATTTGGTATCAAATTGTTGTTTCATTTCCAAGTTATTGTTGTTTCCTTTCTGAAATCATTATTTATTGCTGTTGAATTAAGTTCTTAGTCTCTTGCTGGACTGCTGCTTGGTTTCTCACTCTGGTCTGATTCGTCTCTGCTGGGGAGGTGCAGGGCGATGGAAAAATTGGGTGATGTTGGTAGATGTTGGTAGCTCAAGCCTAGGGCTTGAGCTTTTTAAGCTCACTCTCAATCCAGGGAATGAAACTGGAGACTTTTGCAAACACTTGAGGGAAGGTCCTTCTTCGGGGTCCGTAGGAGAGGATGCCGTGGGCTGTCCCGTTGCACACCAGTGCTCCCTCAGAATCAACCTGTGAAATAAAGCCAGATGTGAGATGAGTCTCATTGCATCCTTCTGTGGCAGAGATGGGATTCGCCGCCCCTCTCTGCACCAGGATGCGTTTCAATATCACACCCAACAAGGCTGACACAGTCCGGGGTCATCCTGCAGTCTGGGCCAGCACCCACAACTTGGGGTCAATGTCCCTTACTTCATGAGCCAAGGAACACACTTACTCTGAAAGCTGATTTCTTGCTGGAGGAGTCCCCGGCACACATCTGCACCCGGGCAGCATACGTGTAGAAAGCCTTCTCGCAGACTCGATCACGCCGCACCGGCAGGTCCACCTCCAGCAGCACATTCAAGGACTTCCAGTTCCACAGGCTTCTGCCTTCCCAGCCAGACACACGGCACACGGTTCCCGGTTGCACTGCTTCCCCTTTTGCAGGCAGGCCAATAAGTTGCACTTGGTCGTTCAGCTTGGCTTTTTGAGTCAGCTGCCATGGAGAAAAAAACCCACAGGATAAAGACTCATCCCGCAGAACAAGGAAGGAGCCTGAGCTCCTGCGGGGTGGGATTATGTGACGGGGCCGGACCCTGCAGCAGCGTGAGTCACTGGGGACAGGCTAATATAACGAGGGATGTACCTGCAGCAGCATGATGTCATTGTGTTTAGTTTTCCTCCTGTATTTCGGGTGGACAATCTGGTGACGCACGTCAATCTTCTGTGAGTTTGCTTCTGGTTTCCGAACGTTGTGAGCTCCCAGCACCACAGATATTTTGTTTAAATCCCTGTGTGGAAATCTCAGGATACTGTAGCTGTCCAGGCATTGCAAACAGGATGTCTAGAGCATTTCTCTGTGGCTCTTACACTCTCTGACCCCTTTTGGGTGCTGTGGTCCAGATCCCAATGCAGTTCTTAGACACACAAGCGGGCTTAAGCAGCTGAGTGTGATCTTATTCCACCTTGCTCAGATCCTGGGAAGGGAATGCAATAGGGGGTCTTTTCCCTGGAGGGCCAGTGGCTCTGGTCTGGCTCCGAGGTGGGCATATTGGCCAGCTCAGGGAGGTGGAAGTGAGACACAGGGCCCAGGGGAGGATCTAGGAGTGTGAACCAGGTGCCAGATAGCACGGCACACGATCATATATAATGCAACATGTATTGCTTATCCAGTTAAAGAGAAACTAGATGCTTTAGTAAGATGCATTGTGGTATTCAGTTTATGATGAAAGCAAACCAAATATCACTTTTGGAATATCCACTAAATTGCTAGATTATAAATAAACTTTGAAAAGCAGAACAAACTAGGGAAAAATAGGAAACAGTCAAAAGATATTGTGACATTAGTCCTTTAGTTTGAATAGTGCAAGGTGAGGACCATTAAAAAAGGGAGTGGGTTGTTAACACCTGTGAAGTGGAGAGATATTAGCAGGAATCAGGGAGAGGTTAATGAGCCATGAAGTCAATTGACATTTTCAGCACTGCCTGAATAGAAATGCTGCTGCCTCTCTCAGGCAGCTAGATTTGAAATGTGGGTGGAGCAGGAGTCAAAGGAGGGTGCAGCCGCACCACGGCACCCCCTGGGCCCTCCCCTTTAAGGGACACCAGCCTCCATCTAGAGCCAGGGTAGGGGTTCCTCCATAGATTCATAGATTCATAGATGTTAGGGTCGGAAGGGACCTCAATAGATCATCGAGTCCGACCTCCTGCATAAGCAGGAAAGAGCGCTGGGTCTAGATGACCCCAGCGAGATACTCATCTAACCTCCTCTTGAAGACCCCCAGGGTAGGGGAGAGCACCACCTCCCTTGGGAGCCCGTTCCAGACCTTGGCCACTCGAACTGTGAAGAAGTTCTTCCTAATGTCCAATCTAAATCTGCTCTCTGCTAGCTTGTGGCCATTATTTCTTGTAACCCCCGGGGGCGCCTTGGTGAATAAATCCTCACCAATTCCCTTCTGTGCCCCCGTGATGAACTTATAGGCAGCCACAAGGGCGCCTCTCAACCTTCTCTTGCGGAGGCTGAATAGATCCAGTTTCTCTAGTCTCTCCTCATAGGGCTTGGCCTGCAAGCCCTTAACCATACGAGTGGCCCTTCTCTGAACCCTCTCCAGGCTATCCGCATCCCTCTTAAAGTGCGGCGCCCAGAATTGCACACAGTACTCCAACTGCGGTCTGACCAGCGCCCGATAGAGGGGAAGTATCACCTCCTTGGACCTATTTGTCATGCATCTGCTGATGCACGATAAAGTGCCATTGGCTTTTTTGATGGCTTCGTCACACTGCTGACTCGTGTTCATCTTGGAGTCTACTAGGACTCCAGGATCCCTTTCCACTTCCGTGCCACCCAGCAGGTCATTCCCTAGGCTGTAGGTGTGCTGGACATTTTTCCCAAGGAACAGGGTGGGTCACTTCATGACTAGGAAACTGGGTGTATTCTTCTTGGACCGATCCCTTGGAGATCAGGTGGGATTCCTCACCTGAACCTGACGTAACAATGAGCCGCCGTCATCACCACGTCCTCCCGGATCAGGAATCCTGCACATCTCTTTCTCACTTGGCCAAATATTTCTATGTTCATGGAGGCCACGTAGGGATGGGAGTCATTTGCAGCTTCACGTCCCCCAGTGATCTTGTCTGGCATGGAGACAGGAAAGAGGGGAAAGTCACCTGCCTTGAGACAACATGTGGGTCAGAAATCCACCCCTCCATGGTCTTGCTCCATCCCTAGATCTCAGAGGGAAGTTGTTAAAGGCTCTCATCCCTGAACTCCCACCATCCCCACCCGGGAAACAGAAACTGGTCTCTCAGATGGTTTGCAGATGACACAGAGATGGTGGCAGTGGTCAGTAATGCAGGGGATGAGCACTAATCTGGGCACAAGGAGAGAAAGTGCATTTTGATACAGCTGCATGTAAAGTCTCCTGTTTAGGGGAGAACCCTGAACCCTGGCAGACTGGCCTTTGTTCCCTACGGCCACGAACCTCGTCCATACTCACCATCCCCAAGTGTGGAGGGCAGGAGCAGAGCCACAGGCAGCAGAAGCAGGAGCAACATCTTCCCAATCTCGGGAAAGCAATAACCTGGAGATATAATAAATACCCAAAGGAAACCTCCAAATCATGTTCACAGCCCCTGAGATAAAGCTGGCGTCCTGTGGGCGCCTTTATGAACCGCTGGTGGAGTGGGTTGAAGGTTAAATCACATGGCCATTCGGCTCTGCGTGGGTATTTGTGCATGCATTTGTGCATGTGAGCTTGTGTCAGAGGAGAGGACAGGTTTGAACCCTGTCCTGGGTTTCTTTTCCCCAACGGAGAGCTAATGGCAGAAATTCCTCTTGAAATTGGGAAGCCCATTGTAGACCTGAAGCCCAATCATAGGACCTTGAGGAGGACAAATGCCAGGGTGATGGGCACAGAGAAAGCATCTGAATACACTAGATTCATGCTCCTGTGCAGAGCATTGTGGGATTTTTGTTATCCCCATTCCCTTCCCACAGTTCCCATTGGCATTTCACAAACTGAAATAATGATGAAGGGGGACATTGGGAGCTGAAGAACGGATAAAGTGTTAGAAACTGTCCTATTTTACAGCATGAAACAGTCCAGTATTTCACGTTAATGTATCGCCGGCTACCTTCTTGGAAAAAAATTGTACCAGAAAGCTTTTTAATACTTCTTAAACATGCAGGGGGAAAAAAAGAAAGAAAACCATTAAAATCATCTTAGAAGTAAGGAGCTCCTTGTGATAGTATCCCTTCCTCACTGTCTCTGGCTGGATCAGCACCCTCATATGAGAGATGGGCTTAATAGTCGGGAGGAAGCGGAAACCATTTGTTGAACTGGGCTGGAGCTGGTGTTGCCACTATTGTTGTCAAAGTCCAGTCCATTTTCTCAGGGGCAAAAGCAAACAAATGCACCCAGAAAAGGGAGAGGAAGGAACAGCAATGAGAGAAACTGCAGCTTGTGTCTCTACTCCCTGTCTTCCCACTGCTGAGGGACCACAGGCCCACCTCAAGACCTGGCAACCTTGCATCAGTCCCGATCCGTCGCAGACATGACTTGTATCTACAATCCCCGGTTGCAGGCCCTCAGCAGTGTAGCAAATCCTGCGCCAGACTGTCTCTACACACAACAGAAAAGGAGTGGATCCCAGCTCCTATCAGGGGTTAATGAAGAGATCCAGGCTTTTATGTGAGCGTCCTGCAAACCCCAATTTCTGCACCAGCTCTTGTGGGGATGCTCAGTGCTGCTCCCAGTGAGACCCTGCTTGCCTCTAGACACAGACTGGGGTTAGCACTAGTGCTCTCAGTGGTGAGGCTCACAGAGGAGGATCCCACTGGCTGGAGGAAAGCAGGATGGAGACACCCCATAGATAGTAAGTTCCTTGGGCAAGATCTCCCCCCCACAAGGAGAAGCAGGCAGAAGACAATCTGTCCCCATCATAGATCATGGGCTGGTCTCTAAATGGGTGAAAGATGAGTTCAGCTCCTGATGTAGGAGATGGATGATTCTGTCCCCAACATTTAGCACCAAGAACACCAATACCAACTGCTTCAGACAGCGTGCACGCACACACACATGAACACACACGTTCCCACCAGCTGATCTGCGTCCTGCTGGATAGTACCGACACTTCTTGCCCGTGTGTCTGTGACTGCAGAGAGCAGTTATGTCTCCTCTTACCTAGCCTTGGAGCTGCCAGATGGGTCCAAACCTCTGTTGAACTGGAGATCTTTCTCTGAGCTTCCATCCCTGTTAGGTGTGCATTATATGGACCTTAGCTGGGCAAGAAATGAGGGATTATGGGAGGGGAGGATTAGTAAATCCAGATGGTGAATGGGTTCTTTCCAGGAAATAGTACTCAAAGGAAACAGCTGTCAAGTGAGAGGGGCATAGGATGAAAGAGAGACAACTAACTCTAAGAGCCATTGTCAACTCTCCTCCATCCCGACCTGCAGTCTCCAGCTAGCCCTGACCTTGACTTCCCCACAGATTCCCTTTGATCTACCTGTGCCAGGTGCCTGCTGCATGGTGCTTGATCAGGCAAAGAAATATCAAAGGAGAAGATTAGCAAGTCCACATGGTGAACAGATGTTTCTAAGAAGCTGGCAATAAAAGGCAACGATTGACATAGTGGGAGCAGGACGTGGTGAAGGAGAGACATTTGCTGTAATGGCCCAACCCTTACAAGTGGATGCAGTGCTCCTCCATCCAGATCTGCATGGACTTGTTACCCCGGCCCCAGGAGTAGGGCACACAGTCTCACCACTGCCCTGCTGCTCCCTTGGCCATTCCAGCCTGGTGCTTCCCAGACCACAGATCTGCTGGCAACTCAGTCTTGACTTGCTGTTATCTCGGTCTGTGCTCAACTGTGCCAACGAACGTTGCTCCCATCCCTATTTGAAGAAGCCTGGGGCTGGGATAGCAGGAGACTGCAGGCCAGGATTGATTGCAATGGGCAGAGCAAGTCCAGGGCCAGGATGGAAGAGGCAGGAAAGCTTTCTGGCCTGGAGCCTTCTGCCCTGCTAGGGTTAGGCATCTAATTGCAGAGTCCAAGTGTCTGAATGGTTGGAACAAGTGGGTCAGGGAGCTGCATATGTGTAGCTTCATGTTTAGCATCAGCTGCTGAGCCCCTTTTTGTCTGAAAGCTTTCTAACCTGCCCTTAAAAACTGCTGATGGTGGAGATTCCCCAGTCTCTCTTTGCAATCGCTTGCTGTGATTAATCACCCTCCTAGTGAGATCTACTTAACCCAACTTCAGTAGTCAGTCCCAATCTCCATAGTTGCACTTTCAACCCATTACTTCCCATCCTCCTTCCTGTGGACATAGAGAGCCATTGATTTCCACCCTCTTCACTACGATGTATTTTGAATTAGAAAATGGTTATCAAATCACCTCTTTGTGAGCATGTCTACATGTTCATTAATGTGCCGTAATACTGCGCATTAAGTTTAGTACCTGTATTACCAGGTACTAAATCAATCCTTAATGCACGATTTTTAAGTGATTATAATGTGCAGTAGCCCAATACTACTGTGAATTAGTGTATTAGCATGGGTTTTGCCATGACATGCTAATGCACAATATAATTTGGTTACTGTGCATTTAGCATCTTGTGCAGACACACCCAGTATACTCTTTTCTAACCTAAATAGCTCCAATTCCTCCACCTTTCCTCATATGTGGGGTTCCCTAGACCTGTAAGTCTTTTTTGTCGTTCTCTTCTGGACTCTTTTTAATTTCTTCCTTTCTTTCTCAAAGATTGGTCCCTAAAACTAGACCCAGTACTCCAGATGACGTCACACCGTTGCTGAATAGAGTGAAAGAATCACTCCCCGTGGCTTGCAGATGACACTCTTGTTACAAACCATACAGCATGTGATTAGCTTTTCTTTTCAGTCATATTGCATTGTTGATGAGCATTCAGCCGTGTTTCTATTATCAGTCCCAGACTCTTTGCACCAGAACTGGAGCCTGGTCACTCTCAATTTGGTATTTGTGCATGTTATTGCTTCTTTGTAAGGGTAGCACTTTGCATTTGGGCTTATAGAGGGCTATCCTCTTTATTTCAGACCAGATTACTGAAGAACTGATTTAGGCTGGATTCTGAGAGTCTCAGAAAGACAAAGTGGGGAAAAAAAAATCAGAAAATGTCTGTTAGAATAGATGGAAATTGGGAGAAAACCCAGGAAGTCTCCCAAAACACTTGCTGCTGGCCAAATTTCCTCTTCTCCACACCGGTCCTTTCATTTGTACTGTTTTACAAGTTAAAACTTTAACTTTTACTTTACAGTAATGGGGAGTCAGACACAGGCACTCATAGATATGTGTATCTCGTACTCTGGGTGTAACCGATATACGGTCAGGCACAAGACCTGTTGCTTGTCTCTTTTATCAGTAGCCGACTTACAAAGAAGCCTATAATTGTCAGGGTTATAGGGTTAGGATGCTTGCCAGGTAAACACACTATAAAGATAAGTTCACAGGGCCAACCTATAATAAAAAAGACTTGGCAAAGGGTTATGGCATCAAGATGCACAATAAAAAAAAAAAAAGAATTGGGCAATAGGAGTGCTTGCAAGTTATAATCCAAGTGCAAGTGTCTACAGAGATCCTGTGTGAAGTGGGGAGGCCCGGCTGGTCCCCAAAGCAATAAACAGAGCTGGTGTCCCAGGAGGGGAACACGTGATGGGGTGCAGGCTGGAAGTTGGGCTCATTCCCATGTGAACCAGCCTTTCCACTGGGTGAGTGCTGTGTGCTGCTGCCTAGGAGGGTCGGGAGGATGGGATGAGAGAACAAGCCAGGACTTTCTTCAGCATCCCACATGCTCATCAGCTCATGCCCCTGCCTCACTCCATGCATAGCTCCAGGGGCGAAGCTTGCCTACCAGCAGCTGCTGTAGCAGAAGACAGGAACAGGAACAACATCAGGGCTCAGAGAAGGGTCCTTGTCCATCTGGATACCTGGGCTCTAGGCTCCTCTGTTAGTAGCTTAGCTGGGGCCAGAGAGTGGCCATGCTGGGCTTCCAGGTGGGCAAGGGGTGGGGGGTCACCCAAGGCAGCCTCACTGCTCTGAGCATCTCCATTGCAGAGTCCCAGGGCAATCACGGGCAGGCCAACACTGGCAAGCCAAAGATCCTGTATTTTGACGACACGCACAGCACCTAGCGGCACCATCCTGGGTTGCGGGGTGGACCGAAGGGAGGATGGGGAAGCACGAGAGAAGTCAAACGGAGAATGGGAAAGGGAATGGCCTGACTGGGATGGTGCTGGGGGATCTCAGGAAGGTCACATCCCTGTCTCAGAGCTCCCTCCTGATCCAGCCACCTTCTGGGAGTGTCACCTCTGAGTGTTCATTGGAGCTTGGCCTGTTCATATGAGGAAAGTTCCCAACATGGGTTTAACCTCACAAACACAAATATCCTCGCAGCAGTACTATAAAGTATACTATAAGTACTATACATCCATAGCAGGTTGTGCACTCTTACCCTTTATTTTGAATGCTTTTATTATAAAGGTCTGAAAAGTAATTTTAAAAGTCTCTCTCTCTTCCCTGGCCTTCTTGGACATGTTCTGCTTTTCCCTCCCACTCCCACAGACAAAATTGCTGGCTTCCTCCTTCTCCCAAATCCGAAGAGAGACAAAGCTAAGCTCTGCTGTCAGGTACAGTAGATACAAACTCTAGACCAAGGTGCCATGGCACCAGAGGTGCCTTCAGATCCTTTTTCAGGTGCTGCAGGGTGCCATGTACCAGTGGTGATACATAAGGGGCGCATGGGGGGTGCACGTGCACCCCTGAGAGTGCTGGTACACCCCCTGACAAGCCGTGCTCCCTGTTTTGGTGATGTGCATGGGGGGGAGGGCAGGTGGGAGTGTTGGTGCCCGCCCTGCGAGCACCAGCCGGGGAGTGGGAGCACCAAATGTAGCGCTGCATCCACTTCTGGGAGTGCTGCAGCCGCTTCCTGGGCAGTGTGATTGGCTGTAGAGGACCCCCCACTCCCACCGGTCAGTGAGATTACTCATTGGGGGACCCCCGCCCCAGTTGCTGACTGGTCGCCGGGGGGGCATGTGCCCCCCCTGACTAAAGTGGCATCAGTCACTAATGCCATGTACTGTTGGCGTAGTTAGGTGTGCAAACACGATTCATAAGAAAAACCAAGAGATTTCAACAGGAATCCATCGTGTTAAAAACATTTTGACCCACCGTGGTCATTTTGAGTTCTTTGCAGCAGGAGAATTGCTTTATTGCTTTTTCCCTACTCAAAGAGCAAATGAAAACTAAGAGGTGGGATTTTCCAACGGATGCTGTGAGTCTAAGGAGGGGACTGTTAGATCTAAAAAAGACCAAGAGCCAGTGCTCTACACTTTTCCACAAGATTGTCAAGAGGTAGAATGACCCAGTAAACACTTAAAAACAGTATATCATTATTGAATAGATATTAAAGGATGGCGATGTTAATATTCCATAGATGCTACAATTACACTTTTTTCTGTAGAAACCTCGTTAATGAGTCACTCATCCCTGTGGTCTCATTAGTAGGTGTACTGGATTCTCTTCACTTGGATACATGCTGGCTCGTTTGTCATTTGTTGAAGTGCAATCAGTCATTTCTAAATGTACAAGCACCCTAATGCAAAGAAAGATTCACAGCTGGTAATTACTTGGCTCGAGAGGTACTGCCCTATGGCCACTCCAGAACCTGACAAGCTAGATGAGGCTCACAGAGCAATGCCAACTCTCCAGCTTTTCTTGGCTAAACAAGACATAGACAATCACTCATTCCTTTATGCAGAATTATCCTCAATTTTACCAACGAGTGCATGTGAGCGTGCAGAACACCAAATATTTTATTGCTGTACTCCCATCATAATCATGTCATTCGGCTGTGTATTAAAAAACTGTACATACGGCTTTTATCTGTATCATCCTGCAGCTCTCATATAGTGCACCAGTGTATGCACGATTTGCATATGTACGATCTGAACTATTTGATGGCCTGGCTCTGTGCCTGCCTCTAATTTCTAGCAAAAGCATGCCTTGCTCTAGATCATGAATCCTACAGCTTTATTACAGACTTTCTGTGCCTTCAAGCACATCAGCATCTGGCCTCCCCATCAAACTATTTTCAGTCCCTTCAGGGTTTTATTCTCCGTTCTATTTCCCTCTCCAGAGCTTGTGTTTGTGCATTAGCCTATTCATAGCACTGAGGATCTCCCTGTTCCTCAGCGTGTAGATCATGGGATTCACGAGGGGGAAGACCACGGTGTGGAAGACGGCCACCACCTTGTCCATGGGGAAGCTACGGAAGGGCCGACAGTAGACGTAGATGGCTGGGCTGAACATGACAAAGACAATGATGATGTGGGTGACACAGGTGGAGGCTGCTTTGCTCTTCCCATGGGAGGAGCTTGCCCTGAGCCGGACCAGCAGGGCCCCGTAGGAGATCAGCAGAAGGAAGAAGCTTACCAAAATGACCAGGCTGTTATTGATGAATATGACAAATTCAAGCCAGTAGGTGTCAACGCAGGCTAGCTCGATCACCTGGGTGACGTCACAAAAGAAGTTGTCCAGCTGATTGGGACCGCAGAAGGGGAGACGGATGATAAGGATGACCTGGATAATGGAGTGAGTGAAACCCCCTGTCCAGGCAGCCACTACCAAGGCCCAGCAGACCCCCCTGTTCACCACAGTGGTATAGTGCAAGGGCTTGCAGATAGCCACGTACCTATCAAAGGCCATGGAG